TTGTGAAATCCCTGCCCTCACAGAGACGTGGTTGAGGGAGGGGCAGGACTGGCAACGGAACATTCCAGGGTGTAGGATATTGAGGCAGGAATGGGGAGAGTGTCAAATAGGAGGTGATGTTGCATTTTTAATTAAAGAGGGGGTTACTACAGTTATGAGTGATGATATCTTGGAAGGGTTTCCAAATGAAGCTTTGTAGGCTGAGCTCAGGAATTAACAGGGGGATAGTCACATTGCTGAGAGTGTATTATAGACCCCCAAACAGTCAATGGGAATTGCAGATGTAGATAATTCACTGAGGTGCTTAAAAATAACAATAGGATATTTATATTAGGGGATTTCAACTTCCCCAGTGTTATTGGGACAATCATGGTTTAAAGGGTTTAAAAGGGACAGTTACATTCCTGAAATGTGTTCAGGAGAGCTTTTAATGTCACTGTGTAGATAGTCCAACAAGGCAATGTGCAGTGCTGAACTGAATTCTGGGGAATGAAAGCTGGAGAAGTGCTTGAGGGGACAGTGGGAGGAACGTTTTCAGTGGTAGCGGTGCTTTAAATTTAATATGGAGAAGGAGAAGGATTGGGAGATAGCAGGTTTCATTAAAATAAGGCAGGTTCTTGCAAAAGTAAACTGGGAACAGCTATTTGAGGGTAAATCTAAAGCAGAACAGTGGGAGGTGTTCAAAAAGGAACTGGGGGGAGTACAGGCCCAACATGTTCCCATTGGGGTGAAAGGTTGGAACAACAAACCCAGAGAACCCTGGAACTCTGGGAATATTCAGGGCCAGATAAACAGGTGCAGAGGGACCAAATCAGACAGAGCTCTGGTGGAATATAGTAACTATTGGGATGCCCAAGAAAGCAATGAATATGGCAAAGAGGGTGCATGAGAAAATGGTAGCAGGCAATATTGGAGAAAATCCCAAGACATTCTATAAGTACATGAAGGGGAAGAGAATAATCAGGAAATGAGCAGGACCCATTAGAGACCAAGGGGAATATTTGTGCTTGAAGCCAGGGGATATTGGTAGAGGGTTAAGTCAGCACTTCACATCTGTATTTCCTGAGGAAGAGGATAACAAGGGTCCAGAATTTGGGAAGGGGACAGGGAAGTTCTTGAGCAGGTTGATATGAGAAGTGGGGAGGTATTGGAGGTTTTGACAGGTTTAAACATGGACAAATCCCCATGTCTGGATGAATTGCATCCCAGGCTGCTGTGGGAGATGAGGGAGGAACTTACAGGGGCTCAGACCCAAACGTTAATTTCTCTCTGGCCAAAGGGGAGATGTCCGAGGATTGGAGGACAGTGAATGTGGTCCCACTTTAAAGAAGGATGTTAGAGTTAGACATGGGAACTGTAGACTCACATCAGTGATAGGGAAGCCATCAGAAAAAGTCTGAAGGAGAGAATTATTCTTCTTTTGGAGAGGCAAGGTTTGATCAGGGACAGTCAGCATGACCTTGTCAGAGGGTGTCATGCCTAACAAATCTGGTAGAAATTTTCAAGGAGCTGACTAAGTGTGTCGATGAGGATCATGCAGTTGATGTAGTTTATATGGGTTTCATCAAGGCCTTTAACAAGATCCCACATGGGAAACTGATACAGAAGGTAAATCCACATGGGATCCAGAGTAACTTTGGAAATTGGATCCAAAGCTGGCTTAGTGACAGGGGACAGGATGGTGGTAGGAGGCTGTTTGTGTGACTGGAGCCCGGTGTGCAGTGGTGTATCACAGGGAGCAGTGCTGGGTCCCTTACTGTTTGTGATATTCATAACAATGGAGATGGGAATGTGGGAGAGATGGTAAGTGAGTTTGTGGATGACACAAAGATTGGTCAGGTGGTTGACAGAGAGGAGGAATATCTTAGATTACAGGAGGATATAAATGGATTGGTCAGATGGGTAGATCAGTGGCAGGTGGAATTAAACCCTGATAAATGTGACATGATGCATTTTGGAAGAAGGAACAAGACCCTTAGACCATAAGGCAAAGGGGCAGAATGAGGCCATTCGGCCCATTGAGCCTGCTTCACAATTGAATCATGGCTGATATCTTTCTCAACCTCATTCTCCTGTCTTCTCCCCATTGCCCTTGATCCCCGTCACTAATCAGGCCCTATCTATCTCTGTATTAAATACACTCAATGACTTGTCCTCCACAGCCCTCTGCAGCAATGAGTCCCATAGATTCACCATCCTCTGGCTGAAGAAATTCCTCTTCGTCTCAGTTCTACAGGGTCATCCCTTT